CGTGTTGATGCCATTTCTGGATAGCAGATTGAATGGCATCGATGGAATCAGGAACAGCGTTGTCAGCACTGTCGAGTGCGGTACGCAGGTCTTCGAAGGAAGTTTGCATAGGAACAGTAGAATTTTGGGGAGAGTATTTGATTCTTGAACAATGTGTTGCAACGAAGGTTGAACCGTCCGTTATGAATAGACTTTATGGAGATATTAAAGTAGGTAGCTTCACCATGTAAGGTCACGTGAGTGCCTTATTATTTATGAGTTGAAAGAGAACTGTCTTTTATTGAATGGAAACAAACGGAATCTATGGTTGATCAGTCATGTGACTGTCGGACATGACAGTGTTTAGTCACCTGACCAAAGGTTAGGCTCTATACCACTGGATGTCAGGGGAAGTCTGTATTCGTATCAACTCAGGCGACATAAAAATACGAACATCTTCGTAGGGAAAATATTTGTTGTTTAAACATGGCTGTAAAATACTGAAAGGTGTATGGCTTCTACTTTGGGAGCACCGATGTGTAGGCGTGCTCCTAATAAAGCTTTCAGCCAAACTTTATGTTGAGAGAAATGAAACAGGGCATTGCACAAATTGTCATCGCTGATAATGTTCTTATGAAAATTTAAAAAGACCATTTTTACCAGAGTACTTGAGTTTACAACCAGTATTAGATATGTTTAGAGAGCATGAAATAGTACGCAGGCATGTTGCTGAATAGTGACAATATGACAATTGGCTCAATGGTAAAGAAAAAAAACATCCTCCCATATAATGAAATCGTATGTCATCGTTCAACTCGAGGTTCCATATAGATTGATTGATACTGTTTCATCGTTCATGGCTATAGTTGGATCTTGACTTATACATCCAACGCAACGGTTGCAGAGTCACTATGAATACTGCAAATTTTCACCGTTTTTAGTACTTTTATCCAAGTACAAAGCCAGTTGTGCGCGGCGCAGGAACAGATTTTGGCGAGTTTCCTGAACAAGTTACTGAACATAAATGAAGTTGTGCGGGTGGGAACTTTTCGCAAACGTACGTAAGTCGGCCATTGCCGAGATTCATGTATCTCGACGCACATCAGGGATATTTGCAGTGCCACCGGTGTACATTAACCGCTCAACACGCTTGTAATATGGATGGAACAAATTGACCGCTCGGAAGGAGAAATTATTATGCGTCGAATTTTACGACTGAAAACTTTAATTTTCATGCGCCCAAATGTGATTGAAAATGAATATAAACGACTGAGACAGGACTGAAATGCTTCTCACAAAAACTTCTCACAAAGGAACAAGTCCCTCAAAATGAAAATCGTCGCAGTTCTGTATCCTGGAGGCCAAGCAGCCAAAGAACAAAGTGCTATGCTAGGTAGGTCTATCGGACATCAAGCAAGGTGGCACTACACATTGAATGATACTTTAACTGTGCTTTAGGCTGTGTTGAAAACGAACTTGGTCTTCGTGAATGGCTAGAATCAAAAGGACATACTTATGTCGTTACTGATGACAAGGAACCTTCCGACAGTGAGCTTGACAAGCATTTACCTGATACCGATATCCTGATCACGACACCATTTCACCCCGCCTACATGAATGGTGAGCGTCTTGAGAAGGCTAAGAAGCTCAAGCTGGCCATCACTGCTGGCGTTGGTAGCGACCATTATGATTTGGAACATATCCATAAGCATAAACCAGATTTGTCCGTTCTCGAAGTCACCGGGTCCAATGTCGTTTCAGGTACTTATTTTTCGGTCATGGTGAAGTCAACAATCAAACGAAATTAATTTGACCTACCCCACAATCTTAATAGTCGCTGAGCATGTCCTCATGTCCATTTTGGTCTTGATCAAGAACTTCGTACCAGCTCATGCACAGATTACCAATGGAGAATGGAATGTAGCCAATGTTGGTGAGTTGCTATTCTGCAAGTAGCACTGCATTGTAACTGAAGAAAACAGGTTTCCTGATATGTGACATAATTTCCAGCAATGCGGACTTATGATCTGGAAGATAAAGTCGTCGGAACGGTGGGTGCAGGAAGAATCGGTTTCCGTGTCTTGCAACGATTGTTACCCTTCCAGTGTAAGGAGCTCGTGTACTTTGATTATCAATCGTTGGCACCTGGTAAGTCAAATAGCATGCAAACCAAAATCAGCACAGCTCACATTGACCTATGAATTTTTCAATTCAATCAGAACGAGAAAAGGAAGTTGGAGCCAAGAGAGTGGAGTCATTTGACGAATTCTTATCCAAGTGTGATATCATCACCATCAACTGCCCTCTGTATGAAAGGACTCGTGGATTATTTAACGAACAGGCCCTTAGCAAAATGAAAAAGGGTGCTTATCTAGTCAACACCGCCAGGGGTGCCATTGTTGATAGAGACGCTCTTGTGAAGGCTGTCAATAGTGGTCATATTGCAGGCTATGCCGGTGATGTATGGTATCCTCAACCCGCTCCTAAGGTATGTTTCATGCTAATGCTTGTCTCAAGTCCTCCAATCCTCAACTTCTCTATAACATCGCTAAAATAGGACCACCCATGGAGATACATGCCTAACAACGGTATGACGCCTCACTACTCTGGTACTTCATTGGATGCTCAGAAACGATATGCTCTAGGTACTAAGGAAATTTTGGAAGCTTTCTTCAATGACAAGCCATTCAGACCGGAGGATGTGATTGTTCGCGCTGGCGCCATCGCTAGTGCCTCGTATGGTGAAAAGAAATGAAGAAGAGTGGTTTGAAGGTGGCCAAACATCATAGCCTCCTCACATGAAATATTGTATTAGGTGCTCTCACCTACATTTTCGTATTAAATGAGTTCCATATTTGGGACAGTTCTCATAAACAATATTTCTTTTTGAAAAACCACAATAAACATTCATATCGCTGATCTTGCCCGTACGAATCATACAATAAAAGTTCGGAACTGAGTAGAGGACAGCCTGAAGAACAGATAGTGTATTATGAAAACAAAAAACAGAAAAAAGCGTTGAGCTCCATTACCTATTCAATGAAATAAAGAAAAAGCAAATTGAACATTGTAAAAAGGGTCTTGATAGATTGTGTTATTTACTGACCCTTTCTCATATCCCCCTTTCTCATTCAGAATCCCCGCACTCGAAATGTCACCATCTTAGTGTCTACCATTTCTCAGCATGACTGACATGCCACAGTCAAATGACGCATCTCATCTCGGAGTAAGTTGTGCAGCCTTCACTCAAATAGTAAGCACAGTTTTCCTAGTCCTTTTCTCAAACGATACATTTGCATCAGGGGCGGTCATCTCCTGAGTTATTTCTTCTATTGACTTCGGTAGCCCGGTATTTCATAATAAAAGGGTATCAAGGCAAGGTTTTCACAGTTAGCAAAAGACCTCATAAAGCTCCAACCTAAAGGTACATGATCTGATGGCGTCTGTGGTCTATTGGTGACAACACAAAAGACAATGACATGGCCGATCGACCGCGAAATACGCCACAAATGACATCTGCAAGGCAACTGCGATCTTCGAAAAACAAGAATTGATCCATGGAAGGGAAGGCCCACAGAGGAGCGAAATGGGGAGAGCATCGACGATCGTGATTCATCGCTGCACACATATCTGACAGCCACTTCTTATTCGCCCGCATTGCATTCAACGCTGTGTATTATGCCCAAGAATTTGCAGCAAAGAACTAGCAGATCATTTTTCCTCATCAACTGTTCGACAGCTTCTCATTTCGAGAGTTCAGTACATATCAAGCAAGCATACACAGTGTAGACCATCCAATATGAGAAAAACTGTGAAGCTCTGGATCAACTAGCATATACAATCGATACGATTTGTCCATTTATGGCCGGCCTGGAAGGAGATGGACTGAAATGTTCAACAAGAAAACGAATTGTCACCAGAGTAACATTACCCAGATGTTTAAGCAAGCTGCTGGCTACTATAAGGAACTGTGGCAGCCTTTCATTGAATTGATACAGCATGACGTCTTGGATATCGATCGCCTACAGCACAGACGAATAGATGATGTTGACGAATTGGCCGGCCTCCCGACAACAACCCTCCCACCTTAAAGGAAGCTGGTAAATTGCCCAATTTTTCCTCATTTGGGGGGCGCCCTAAGTCAAAAAGTCCTATCGTGCTTCTCTGATCAACGCTCTTACGAACACGTCCGTCGAAAAGGGGCGAAATAAAAACTAGCAACAGGGTTGTCTTTCTCCTTACTGTCGACTGTGAAATATCAATGGTTCCGAGTACGACTGGATTCTTCTTTTGATATCGTATTCATTCCTTTCATCTTTCATTACAGCTCTTCTTTATTCACTGTTAAAATAATGATGAGCATTGTTTGGTTGCTTCATTGTTTGACGGCAATTGTCATGATCTTCCCCTGGGGATCAGCAGCCGCACCTGTACCTGGCAAATATGTACCATTTGTACAAGAGGATTCTGTGGAAGGAGGACCATCAGCAAGATACCAGCCTTCAGCACTAGAACGCAGAGCAGTGTTGCAAAAGCGTGTTTCTACGGGTGTCCCTCCAGAAAATCCGTCATACAGAATTGGATCACACGAAATTAAGGATCTGATCAATCTGACTTCAAACGACCAGTTCATCGACTATACTATGGGCCGCAATCCGGATCACCATTGAAGGAGACTGAGAACACACATCATGCAAAAAGTAGCCCTTTCACTCTCACCGCTACTATAATTCAACGCTTTCCCTTTTTATTTTCTTTTTATTTCCGTGAGAGAAACATAATAAACCCTAGTACGAATGCGTTTTGTAGCAGTATCCTAAAGTATACCCATTGGCAAGACCCTTTCAAAATTCCGTCCATGTCATTCAAGTGTGGGGCCATGTTGAGTGGAGGAGCGATGGTGATTTTTTTTCCGACTTATATCATGCTTCAACACCGTTTTGATAAACAAACGGTATGTAGACTGTCCTTCCCCTTGCATTATTAGAACACCTCATCTACTTGGCTATTTGCTTAAAACAAGGCGTATTAAGCTCTAACCCATAACGACACAAACATGGAGACAATACCGTTCATCCACTGTACTACATATCACCGCTTCTAGTACAGATCGTCTACCGATGATTTGTGGGTGGACCACTTCATTCGGCAACCTAGTGTGTCGATCTTTTCTTCTTGCTTGAATGGCTCCTGGCAAAGCCCCTTCTGGTACCTGGCAGGTTTCAAAATCAGCCGTGTTGTTTGCCTGCTTTGGTTTCATCCTGTCTCCTAAAACAACCTTTTTTTTATATTCTCTAAATTTTCTTCCGTCTGAGCAATCACTTTGAGGCACTTGCGTTGTTGTCATTTATTCCTTTTGTATTACAATGAATTCAAAGTCGCTCTATCTTAGCTTTTTGGTATCTGATCTTGCATTGTATATCTTGATCGCTTGTCCAACTTTTATTGGGCGGGATTAACCTTGTCCAGGGGATTTAGGGGCTAAGCGTGCTATTTTTCCTGTGCTTCAATAAAACATTTTGTATGCTGCAAAACCTTTCAAGGCTTGTTGACCTTTTTTTCCATATTTTTTTTTTCTTATTTAGCGACTTACCTGCTTTTCCTTGCATCTTTTTATTTCAGTACACTTTCTTAACAAACATAACATCAAATACGCTTCCCCATTTCCATTACAGCTTGGCAGGAACATGGATCAGCGTGTATATATGGAGTCCAAACAGCTAGACGTATCAAGTGACGAAAAAAACTATATCAGCTTGCTACAACCTGCGAATCATTTGCGCTCTGACAACTTGCATGAAGACGAGAATGGTGAGGAAGAGAGCAGTTGCAATGTGTCTCCTGCTTCTTCCAACAAATCGTTTAGAGACTATTCTACCTCTGCAGCCAATTTTGATCGGTCAACTCCACGCTTGTTCCATCCTATGCTGTCCAGCAATTTGTCACGCCGCAACTCCACGTCAAAGATGAATAATCTAGTACAAGACTTTTCTTGCATGGCAGTTATGGACAGCCCTAGTGAAGAGTACGTACGATAGCGTGATATGTATCGCATGTGCGAAAAATAGCTAACAGCACTTGGATGTGTTACAGAACCTCGTCGTTTGACACAGCCAGCACTGTATCTGTAAACGGAAGGTCAAAGCCCGCAAACGATCCATCGTCGTACTACAGAGAGTATTCTACACCAGAAAGTAACAGCTATGGCAATTACAGTCCTTCGTTTCTAGAAGAACAGCGGTCTCCACTGATTAGAGGTACGTTCTTGTCAAAACCTGACGTGTCATTGACAGTTTTATTTTGTGAGACGGAGTTCTTATTTAGTAATGTTCTTTCTTGAATACGCACGTCTGCAGACAACATTGAGAAAATCCGCTCAAATTCCATGAAGCCATCCTTCTCACCTCGTTATTTTGAGGCCGATACTATGCCTGAAGAAAGATTTCAGTCGTTCAGTCGCCGTGAGAGTAGCCCTGCCATTGTAAGTATACTACGTCAAATATTGTAAATTTTGGGAAATGGAATTTTCATAGTTTTTTGACTTGCTTTTACTAAATATTTATGGTAATTCAGAGTACTTCCACTAGAACAGATAGATCGGATGAAGCATATTCATCTACTTGGAAACGGCTTCAGGAAGATAAGAACACCATGTTGTTCAACGACTTCATGTTTCCCCAAGAACATCCAGCCATGTCTCACTCTTACGGCGGTTCACATGGACAAAACAAACTTTCCAACTCTGCCGGTAATGTGCATCGAGAGGCAAAGTTAGGAGAACCGCGCATAGCTTTTGACTCTCAAAAGCTAATTGGTTCTCGCCTGGGCTCGTCTTATTCCAACCCAGACCTTGCCACAACACGTAGGCTCAATGCAATGGGAAAGGGCTATTCTCAATACCATAACAATGACTCAATTTCGGATGATAACAACCATATGGTGCAGTGTAAGCCATTCCAAAAGTACGGTTCCTGTCATCGCCTTGATACCTGTCCGTACTTTCACAACACCGACATGTTGAACAATCCTCTGCCTAATCAAGTCAACAACGCGTTATTAGCCAGAAATCACATGCAGGCTACTTTGCTTTCCAATGCATCAGCCGCTGGAACCTTGGGTTATCCTGGAAATGTGCCTTTCAACTCTGTTCACTACCAACAACTTGCCGCCTTGGGTAATTTGGCCGAAATGAAACAGTTGGCTGCAATGAACGCGACGTCTCCAAATATTGCAGCAGCGTTTGACATGGACACGGCTCTACTAAATGCCGCCTTGAATCAATATATGCAAAATAGGTCCTCTGTTACCAAACCTAACAACAGTCTTCATAATCCGAAGAGGTCAGCTAGCAGTGATCAGGATGCAAACAGTTTTATTGGTGTGAGTTTTGAAGACGTCAGAGCTGACATATACCCGCTATGCAAAGATCAGCATGGATGCCGTTTCTTTCAAAGAAAACTGGAAGAGCAGATACCAATGTACAGGGATGCCATATTCAATGCCGTCTATGACCATTTTGTAGAACTGATGACTGGTGAGTGTATTCAAACCAACCATGGCAGAAGAACTCTGGGTAAATGCCATCTACTGAACAGCTTCAAACAGATCCCTTTGGGAACTACCTATGTCAAAAGCTGGTAGAGTACTGTGAGGACGACCAGAGAATGCTCATTGTGGAAAAAGTCGCACCGGATATTGTCACCATTTCTCTCAACATGCATGGTACACGTGCTATTCAGAAGATGATTGAATTTTTGAACCTACCTCAGCAGGTAAGCTATTAAGCCCATGGTTTTTCCAATCCTTCAAACGAAAGCAATCCCTTATCGATCGCGTTTTTATTAGACCAGAGCCATTGTCAACGCTCTAAATGCTAATGTTGTGACCTTGATCAAAGATCTCAATGGTAACCATGTCATTCAAAAGTGCCTCAACAAGATGGCGCCAAACGACAACCAAATTATATATAACGCTGTCTGCAATAACTGCGTGGAGGTTGCTACCCATCGACATGGATGCTGTGTACTACAGCGCTGTATAGATCATGCTGTAGACAATCAAAGGACACAACTGGTAGCTGAAATCGTACGACATGCTCTCACTTTGGTGCAGGATCCATTTGGTAACTATGTTGTACAATATGTCTTGGATCTTGGAGACAGCCGATATACCGACAGCATGATCAAGCAATTCATTGGAAATGTGTGCGCCTTATCTGTCCAAAAGTTCAGCTCTAATGTGATTGAAAAGGTAAATAATCCGTTTAGCCGCGTGCGCGAGGTGAAACCCGTCATGATTCTTAACCGCCCGCTTTGATTGCAGTGCATTCGAGTAGCAGAGCCCGATACCCGCGCTGCTCTCATCGATGAAATGGTCAACAGACTGCGGCTAGAGAAACTTCTTAGAGACTCGTATGCCAATTACGTGGTGCAGACATCTTTAGACTATGCTGAACCAAGGCAACGCGCACAGGTAAAGTTTCAACATAGTCATATAGGACGCAATGCGCCATGCATGGTATTGATTTGAAGGTTTCATTCTATTTTTTAAAAGCTTGTGGAGTGTATTAGACCATTACTACCGGCCATTCGTAACACACCTTATGGCAAACGGATTCAAAGCAAAATTCATAGAGAGCAACAAAGAGAGCAAGAGCGTCACTATGTTGCAACTTCCTCCTATATTGGCTTGAATCACCCAACATTTCCTTTCAATAATGTGCAGCTCAGTGGTCTCTCGAACCCAAACCTGCATCCGCATCAAGTTAATAACTTACCTGCCAACATGGCGTTCAATAATGTATTCGAAAATCAAATGGGTAATACCAGTATGGTTGGGCTGCATAACGTTGCCAGTGCCTACCAGTACATGTAAGTATGTATGTTGTAAAATCACCAATTCACTCTATCGATACAGCTCCCCTTCTTTTGCTCCATCTTATTCCTTGTTATTGTGCTATGATATGATTTTGGTTTCTTTCTCTTCAAATTCTTGTTTTAATGTTTCTTTCACTGTCATGTTTCTTTTATCCCTTTTCTTTCGTTTTTGTATCTAGTTTGGCAAGAGTTTATATTGTCTTTAACATCTATCCTTTCCCTTATTTTTTTTTTGTCATTGGAACTGCCCTGCCCTGTCCTGTCATTCGTTATTTTCGAAAGCAATTTGCTAGATACCATGTCCTCGTTTGATTTGTTTAGTGATTATGACACTACATGTTCTTACTCGCTAATGTAGTATCAACTCGTTCCACCTTATGGATTTAAACTTAAAAAAAAAAAGAAATGCCTAGTTTGTACATGTTCGGGTTGGTAGGCAAACTTTTGGAAGGGAAGGGTGTCGCCATTTGAAAAATTGAGGATGGGCAACAGTTGGAAAGAAACGCCGCGCCCAAATACACATTGTATTAATCCAGCATTCATGTCAGCTATACAGCGAAAAAGACCAGCCTCGACCTCCAAACGCGAACCAGTACCTACTGAGCGCTCAGTATCAAGCGAGCCGCCAAAGAGCGGTGGACTTTTCATGCTTGCATTCAACATTCTCACTTGGGGCATCGTGTTGTTCTTTGTTTCGTCGTTCCTTATAACTGATTCATGGACGTGGGGATACCGAGGGAAATGGGTCAACGTTAATACGTGGATTCCAGTAAGTACAGATACGCTAAAAAAAAATCGCGCAGTTCTCAAGCCAATCCCGTCTCCCTTTCAATAGAAAAAACAGATCCAATTGACTGAACAAGAGCTAGCTAAATACGATGGTACCAATCCCTCTCTGCCAGTGTACATCGCTATCGAGTAAGTTTTTGTTTTCTTTGTGTACGAGGCAAAAAAAAAAATGGCCTGTTCAGAGCCTGAATAGTGTGATGCGAAAAAGGAGCTTGGGGGAGGCGCAATGCTTAAAAGGGTATACCCTGCTTAGATACTGCTTGCTGCGCACTCTGTCAAAGCATATGCTTGGCATTCAGGAACCTTTTATTGTTTATTTCACTAATTCTGAAAAAAACTTTAACTCCTCATGGGGTTCAGTGGTGATGTTTTTGACGTAACCAAGGGAAAAGGATGGTACACACCCGGCGGCAGTTACCATTTTTTTGCTGGTAGAGATGCCGCGCGTGCCTACGCAACTGGCTGCTTCAAAGAACATCTCACACACGATTTGCGAGGACTCGGTGAAAATCAGCTCAAGGTAAATATGTCATTCCAAATGTAATCATAAAAAAAATTGGGCGACTAACAGCATCATAATAGAGCATCGAGCACTGGAAGACATTTTACAACAACCATCATAATTACTTCAAGATTGGCACGGTCAAGCATGTACCTATCGATCCTAAATCGCCCATTCCAGCTTCCTGTGACAAAGCAATGCCGCAGAAGCCAAAAAGGCAACAAGATGACGAATCGAATGAAAAACAAAAATAATAATTCGCCCAGTCCAGTTGTTTATTCATGAAAGCCCATCAAAAAGGATTGGAATGCCGAACGTTCAAATTAAGTAGGCCATGACCCCATGACCAGCAGCTCCCAAGAAAGCAGCAAGCCCATGTTACTCAACACCCTATCGTGCCGACGCTATTTCTGGCTAGCAACGGCCATGACTAGCTATATATAACAATAAAAAACAATGCAGAGGTATGCACATATCATGACATGCGTAGGATGGATGAAGCAGGCCCGGGCGTCGACGTTGGTTATGGGTTATGCAAGTTCGTCTTTCAGCATTTGGTACGGTTTGTTAGTTTGGAGGGAGAAAAACTTGGGATTTTGAGTTTACAAGAGACAAGTGGCATTGATCGTCGTTGCAGACGAGCTTGAGAATAGAAGCGCCCCGTGCGCTAACCGCCGCCTCAATAAACAAAAAGAGTGAACATCGCAGAAGCCCTATCAATAAGGCGCAAGGTTCCATGACTTGTTCAGGAAGACCCGAGCGAACACTGGCTGGGTGGTCCAAGCTGAGGTAACAGATCCGGACAATGCAGCAATATCATTGGGGTAACACCGTATCATGGGTGTGTGGCAAAGCAGTGAAAGCCGATGCTCGCTCACCATAAATCCCCCCCCCCCCCCCCCAGCAATCAACGGATTTCTTTCGTAATGTGGCAACCGATGCTTTCCCAAATTTTTAGACAATAGCCGCGCTCACCCCCATGTGAACATGGCAAAAGTAAAGAAAGAAGTGAAAAAGGTTTTGTGTACAAGTCGCCTCACCCCCTTATTCCTTCAGAAGTAGTGTCATGCAAACTAAACTGCCTTATGCTGCCACAGGATGATAGCTTTATGCCGTGGCTTTTAGAAACAAGTGACGGAAAAATTTTTTTTATTATTATTGTGGCTATAGCTTATGGCAGGTTCAATTTTGATGTCATGTTAAGAAATGTTAAGGTAAAGAGGAGAGTCACAGCTACGATAGATTAGCAAATGTACTCTTGAAGAATCGGGTAGAGTGGTCTGTGGGATAACCTTTGGCGATCACCCAATTTTATTCAGTTATTTTTTTTTTTTTTACTGCGTCTCGACTCTCACAGGTACCCAGCAAACTCTAGGTCACATTTGGAAATCCAGTACAAGAATATAAATATCAGCCAGCTCAGGTTAAACGACAAGTTGACTCTCAGCTCATCCTCACCATTCTCCTCATCCTCATTACGGTCTAGACATGCCTCCACATGCCACTTCATTCCCTTCTCTTGGGCCATCAAAACTATCTATCAAGACGAAGCAGCATTGTCTCAATGTAAAGCAATTGATGGGCCAGGAATCTGGTATCATATATTTACGAGGTGCCTTGAATATCTTGCGGGATGATACCGATGTGGAAATAAAATTTAGGCAAGAAAGCAACTTTTTCTACTTGACTGGTAAATGTTCTCTCTTTTTCTGTTCTTTTTTGTGTGATCTTTCATGGTTGCTGCCATGAAATACTAGGCATATGTCGGCTCCAACCATTTGAGAGTCCGTGTGGACTTAGAAAGTGCGCACAGATGCGTGACCTGTCCACATAGCCATGCCCTGTTATGAAGCTATCCCCTTTTTGTTGGTCTGACCGTCTACCTCTCTTCTTCCCTATAGGTGTCAATGAACCGGATTTTCAGTTTGTCTTTGACTTTGCCAGTCATGTCAGTTATCTGATCGCACCTTTTATTCCCGAGACGGAAAGAATGTGGAAAGGTGAACCTGACTCGGTGGAAGAGATGCTGCAAAAGTATGATGTGGATCAAATCGTGTATGATGATGACTTGGCTCGTCTGATAGAAGCTATCAATCCCTCGAGTGTGTTTGTGTTGGATACCACGGATACCACCCCAATTTCTAAAGTGGTTCCTATGGACAAGATCGACATCTGTATGCTCAAACCTGCCATGTACGAGTCTCGTTTGCTCAAGTTTCCGTGGGAGATTCAGTTGATTAGGAAGGTAACCCATTTGTCATCTCATGCGCATATCACTTTAATGCGAGAGGTGCAATTTGGAAAGAACGAATCGGAACTGCAGGCTCTGTTTGAATGGGAATGTGCAAGAAATGGCGCTAGCTATCAAAGCTATCTGCCCATCGTTGCTTCTGGAAAACATGCCGCAACATTACACTATACCCATAACAACAAGTGGCTTAATCGAAAGGATAACTCGGATATGCTTCTCTTAGTGGATGCGGGCGGTGAAAAAAATTGCTATGGAACGGACATTACAAGGACCTATCCCGTCAGCGGAAAATTCTCTGCGGAGGCAAAAACCATATATAATATTGTCTTGAAGATGCAACAGGTATGGGAAGACTTTGGAAGGTGAAGATATACTCGTACCACTGCTAACGTGACTAACCTCAATCTTTAACTAGGCGGTGTTGGATCGACTGAGGCCAGGAACGTTGTGGACGGAAATGCAAAATCTTGTCATTCGTATTTTGTGTCAAGAACTTATTCGGATTGGAATTCTGGTTGGCGATCAAGAAGAAATATTGAAGCTTGGCCTTACAAGAGCTTTTTACTTTCACGGACTTGGTCATAGTGTCGGTTTAGATGTCCATGATGTCGGAGGGTCAGTATCCCCCATTTGTGTTACGTGAATGACCTGGATCGTTAATTTACGTTACCTCTCTGTATTACAGCCGAAAAGCAGGAGTTTTTAACTGTTTGGGAGATGAAGAAGACAATGTCGCTCGAAGTCACTTTCTTCTGGATCGACCATTAGAGGCTAATATGATCATTACAGTGGAACCTGGACTTTACTTTAACGACGTTAGTCTGAAAGCTTGGACTGGTTTCCCCGAACTTCAAAAGTATTTTAATCTCGAATTGCTTCAAAAGTATCGCAAAGTTGGAGGCGTTCGCATTGAGGATACCGTGCTCATAACTGAAAACGGCTATGAAAACTTGACTATTGCTCCAAAGACGGTTGATGACATTGAAGCGTTGATGGCTGCCACTCATCCTCGTAACTAAATACCACACAACTCGTCTTTCACCCCAGATAAAATATAACCACCCACCCTTTCCAGTAGAACTCACATCTCTTTCAAAGAAAAGATCACTTATTTTTATTTATGTAAAGAGTGAACAATATAAAATTCACAAGAACTTGATCTTACTTTAGGCTACTCCTTCCCACCCTAGTACAACTATGCCCTTTACTTGCTCTCCTAGCTACCCAACTTTCTTGTACATTCAAAAGCTATCAGACATAAACAAAGTATACAAAAAAAAAAACCATAAACAATACAAAAGTAGATACTTACTTGTAAAAGTCCCAAAATACCGATATCAATGGATTGACCTGTCATGGTACCCCGAATGGGTCCAGTGGCACCCAAGAATATCCGTCTAGCTCCACAAAGGAAACCGTATGATGTTCCATGAGAACGGTGGCTCCCGGTGACCGTTTCTTATGCTTCCTACGCTTCCTCGTGCCAGTCGTTGAGTTACAAACCGTTCCCTACCGATACGTCATGTAATACTGCGCACACGGCTTCAGCTTGTCGGTCGGTAAAAAAAAGGTTTGACATGGCATATACCACGATACACAGCCACCATAATAGCCATGTTCCACTGCATAGCAATAGCCGGCATGAGGAAACGATGTATGCGGAAGATAAACTGATCGGTTGCCATGCCAACTTCATTAGCCTTCAAAACAAGAATACTCCCTAATCCAAATGTCCCATTATCTGTTTACCTGCAGATTCCCTTTTTTGTGGTGTTCCAACGCCCTTGTTTACGCGTTGGTACCACTGAGACTTCTTTTCCATGTCAATCATCGACAATAACAGTAAGTTTAAGTTTTCCAGTTTCATTGGTTTTCCTTCAAGTTCTTTGGCAGTCTCACGGATCTTGCGACTCCTCCCTTTCTTGAAAGAGGCCTACCTCCAAAACCTTTTTCCTAGCAGGCAGGCTAAACAAAGTAGAAAGCTGGCTTTTTCTCGCCAAGAAATTTATCGGCTTACTCGCTAGCGAGGCTCGGTGTACTCGGACATGCTACCACGTCGCGCATGCATAGGCTTACGGAATGCGCTCTGGTCCCGTAGGCGGGAACTTGCAGGACATATCGTTTTTTTAAGTTGCGAAATGTGCGAAATCTAGGTTTGCTGGCAACTCAGCCGACGGTGTAGCAAGTTTGGAGTCTGACTAGAACGCACCAAGTTGGTTATTTTTGTCATGCAATTGCAAGGTCCCCAAATGTATTCGGCCATACATTTTCCCCTTGTGCTCGAAGCCCTTCAGCACTTCATCACATGTTCGCTCTCATGCATTAGGACCAAAAAGAATGGGAAAAAGGAGAAGCTTCACCTTACCGAGCATTAACAAGAGTGTGGTTTGATTACAAGACTAAAAAATCAAACTCACCTGATGATGGTCGGGTACATCCCCTTACGCTGTAAATATTGATTTCGAATCTTTTGCCTCCACCCTGCGGCTGATGAGCTCCATCATGTCATCCTAAGGTAACATTTTCTCATTTTGTTTGCCCCTGCTAAGGAGTAGGTCAGATATAACGAAGATTTCCATGTGGGAGCACATGGCTCTACGTCAGGGTAACCGCCATGGCATCTCCAACCAGGAGCTAATTTGTTCCAGACGCAAGATGAGCTCAACACGGAGGTATTCATGACAACAATCACTACCTTTAGATATATCATATTTATTGGCTTATATGATCCCAAAATACCTCATCATGATCTAACACTTCATCGTCGTCGGACGCACCTTGATCGCTTGGTAAGTAGTTCGTTATCCGTTAGCATTGCCAGCATGAAGAAAAGCAAGCGATTACACTCTGCTCAGCAAAAAATGAACTCCTCAATAGCCACATTCTCACGCCTACAATTAACAGCATATAGGTCTTGCCCTAATCTTAGAGCCTGTAAATACGAATCTCAGGATATTTGCCACAATTTCAGAGGATGGCCCGCCTTACCTCATATTCGATTCAATGGATATAAGTAGGTCACCGTATGGGCATCATGAACAGTATACTGATATCCTTCAAAAGGTCATACTCATCCGTCTTCCAAGCTGCTATGGGGGGTCGCAATGATGGCAGGTTTGACATTGACAGCGTGGGCTATGGTAGCATATCCAAACAGAAAATCAGAATGAAGCATGAGCAGAGCAGCGTACATTGTTCATACTGCTTTACAAACCCCATGCATTCGCTTTCGTAGATTGAAAAACATTGCATTGTACTGTTCACTGTAGAAATATGGATGGCATTAGACAGCACCGTTGGTACACTCAGTATGTGAGACCTACTTACGTCTAGGAACATGATGTGAATTAGTGTACATAACCTTTACGCATTAACTGGCATCACAATGCTGCAATGATACTGATGAAAAGTTTATGCAGCAGCAAGGTGAAAAAAAATAACGCACCGAAAAACATTTCTGCCTATAAAAACGGGCCATGGCAGTATCGTGAATGCAAACTCATTATGCTTCTTACCTGACTGCAAATAATAACTGGAACCTAAACTAAACAGCTTATTAAAGTAGAGCACCTTTGTAAATTTTAATAAAGCCTTCAACCACTGACAGTCTATAACACAAGCACTCTTTTTCTTCTCAAGTTTTCTACCTCTATCACCTTCGTAAGCGAACCCCGATGAAATCTCGATTTCAGGATTCAGTCCTCCCTCATCCTATAGTAGATTGAGTGGATGTAAAACAAAAAGGAAAGAGGACTGCAAATTATGGATGAACAACTTCTGCATCAAAACCCATACCGGCGTGAAGAACTTAGAGAAGAAAAGATAGGGAGAAGTCAGGGTAATGAGATCATATTCAAGACAAGGGTGCAACTATAGACTCCGAGCAGATAGCTCTGTCTTGTAAACCGCTCCCCAACGGACGACCAAGCTGATCCTATTCTTACTATTAGATTCTTGAGAGGTATGCTTAGTTGAAAGACAATGTACTAGGTGAAAAGTAGGGTTTGAAATAACGAATGAAATGAATGAATGAAATCTTCTCGGATGCACGGACTTTCCTTTAGTCCTTACACGTGGAACGAGCCACCTGATAACCTTATGAAATCTCCGCCCCGCCCTAACCATCCTAACAAAATGTGTGCGGTATACCATGTAAATACTGAGAGCATATGGTGATAAGCTATTGTTTAAACCAGTCATTTTCAGGTTCACTAGACCCAACCATAGACTTTTACGATACATGGTCCGATATGCTTCCATGAGACATTAAAATCCAGTGACGGAGAGTAACGAACCTGTGCTGCGAGGTCGTACACCATGATATTTGTCGTAGCCCCTAGTGCGCAATATCAGCTGTTTTCAGATATACACACAAAAGTTCAGTAAATGGCTGCTTCATCATTTGCTTCGCTAACCTTTGGCTGGTGGGATAAGCGTGTGCAAACTACATTCTGACATCCCACTGCTGATGCGCAGGCTACTAAGAATAACCGCAGTTTGATTGACTGGTATTGCCACACTGATTTCGAAATGAAGCTTGACAAATATAACTTGCCATCGGCATTGCTTAATTAAACAAAGTCCAGGTACATTGGGCTCTCCTTGGTTTACCCGAGCTAAAAAAGCGCAGAATATATCAAGCCTCTTTTTCATGTTCAGCTGTACGCTTGAAGCCACACCCGTAAATAGCCGCTCAGCATATTTAAGGCCTGCGCTTTCTTATGTCACTTCGTCTTCCTAACTTTAACTTTCTACAAAATTATGTCAAGTAATAATGAAACTTGGGTGATAATAGTTGCACTCATCGTTATACTCATCATCGCAGCCGTTGCAGCGATGATGAAAGCTTCAAAGGGTAAGCAGTCATCGACAATACCATCCATGTTCACACCTTCCCTAACACAAACTACCTCAACAGCTAAGATAAGTTCAATCGGATCGCAATCTACATCTGATCCGGTCGCTACAGGGTATGATGCAAGAGATACAACAGGACCGTTAAATCCATCCCTGGGCACCTCTCAACCTGGCCAGGATCATAGAACCTCATCCACTCAAGGCGAGACAGCACCATTATCTACGTATGATGAGAGCGTTATCATAGATATACCACCACCTTCGTATCAAGAGCATACAAAAGACTTGAGGCTACCAAAACCGACTTAAAATCTGACCGCCAAGTTGATATCCTCCCTTGCGCAGGTTTACTACCCGAATGTTCTCATAGGAAAAACTTATACCCGCTCTCATATAGAGACCAAATGTGTACTATATATTAACTTAATACTTTTTGTATTTGTGAATACAACCTATTTGACTACTTTAAACACTAATCGTTGCGAAGCTGGCGGTACAAGCGGTTAACCCTAACAGCTATATCGCAGATCCACAGCAATTCAATTATTGATGCACCAGCTATACACTGTATACAATAAAATCTCTTATGTCACTTTACAGTCTTAATCACCTATAGGATGAGTGACTTTATTTTGCTTCTATCACACAGCTTTCAGGTATTTGTCTTGAATGTGACAAAAGACTTTTGTTCCGAACGTCAATGAGAGGAAGATCTAAAGCAGTGCAAATTTTACGTTCAGAAAAGGGTGAACTAAATCGTAGAACTTCATTAGAACTTTCAATTTTTATGAATCTTTTTCTCTGCTTCCACTTTTTACAAACTCGTAGGATAGTAGCATCAAGAATTTGACAGTAATCCTCCTATTTCCTGGCCCATATCAAGGTCGCTCGCCGTGAAGTTTTCATACTCCGCTCCGGGAGCTGACCTACAAAGAGGTTCATGCAAACTATGCACACCTGTTAACCATCATGCT